CCTCTCCTCCCCTCCCCTCCCCTCACAGTTTCTCCTCCCTCCTCTCCGGTGAGCTCCTCCTCCCTCCTCTCCTCCCATTCCCTCATGGTTTCTCCTTTGTCCTCTCCGATGCTTCGGTGAACTCCTCTCCGGCGACCTCCTCCTCCTCTCCGGCGATGTAGGCGAGCGCCTCTCTGGCAAAAGAACACGGCAAAAGAACGTACAAGATCCAAAAACAGGAACAAAATTTGGAATAATATCGTGCCAAAAAACAAGCAAAAAAAACTACCAAAAAATGGGCCAAAAAATCATGACCCAGATCCAAATTCAAAATTCAAAAATAGCAATGGCGCACGGTGGGGGTCAGACGGTGCGCCACTACTATTTTCCCGCCTTCAAAATTCAAAAATACTAATGGCACACCGTGGCCTATAATAATGGCGCACCAGTGGCCTATACTAATGGCGCACTGTGGCCTATACTAATGGCGCACCAGTGGTGCGCCATTAGTATACCAGATACTAATGGGGCATCAGTGGTGCGCCATTAGTAAAAATTACTAATGGCGTGCTAGTAATGGCGCACTAGTGATGCGCCATTAGTAGGCAAAACTGGTGCGCCATTAGTAGGCCTTTTCCTAGTAGTGGGGGGCGAACATGTGGCGCTAGAAAGTTGGCGGGAAACACGCGACAGGAGAAATATGGTAGGAAAACCTCGGGCAGGAAACACAATGGCAGAAGAAATCGGGCGGGAAACACAGTGGCCAAAGAAATCGCGCAGGAATCGCATGGCATGAGAAATTATGTGGGAAATTTCCGAACATGAGAAACTGCACGGGAATCATGCAACATGAGAAATCTGGTTGGAAAATTTCTAGTAGAAAACACATGGCTAGGAAAATTGGGCGGGAAATACACGGGTGGGAGAAATCGTGCGAGAAAGACATGACGCGAGAATTGGGCGGAAAACTTTTGAGGCAAAAACTCTGAATTGTACTAAAACATTTTGGCCAATTTTCATATCACAGACCAAAAACAACTTTGGGTGCTAACATGACAGGTTATTCAGTGTGTTCATATCTACCAATCCGCAACCAATCTGAATCTCCATTTTTTGCAGGTAGTTTAGAGACTCGAGTAAAACATAGATCGGATACCCATCCACTTTAGAGCAGACAATTGTGAGCTTCAAAACATCTGTTAGAAGGCACAACAATTGAGTAAGGTGGCAGGGTGGCATCAACCAGCAGGGCCACCAGTCCGACGACCAGTGGGGAAGATGAGAGCTTCCGGTTGATGGAGGAGGCGAGAGCTTCGCGTAAGTTGAGAAGGCGAGTATACATGGGTATAATGTACGCCGTGATATAAAAAATGTATGTCTAAAAATAATACAAATTTCCAAGGGGGGCATTGCCCCCTCCCTCCAAAAAAAACATCCTCATATTATTAACTTTGAATCCCTTACAAATTTTCAATTGCACGCCTTTGTAGTTTGCCAACACATTGCTATAGGATTTAAAGAAGAGAATGTGCTGACGGGTTGGTCATGGTGGCCGGTTGGTATTTTCAATTGTGCCCCTTCGTCCGTTTTACATTTTTTTTCTCTTCTTATTTACGCTCTTTCTATTTGTTCTTTATTTGTATTTTCATTAAAAACATGTCGACTCTTTTAGTACATGTTGTGCATTTTTTGTATACACACAAAGCATTTTTTATATGCATTGAAATTTTGTCAAATGCATGATGAACACTTTCTAAGAACAGTTTTCAATACATGTTAAACTTTTTATAAGAACACTTAAAACAGTTTTAAGACACATTGTACTTTTTTAATGCATGTGAAACATTTTTCATATAAACATCGAACAGTTCAAAAAAATACATGAGCAACTTTTTTTAAAATAATACATGTTGAAGATTTCTTTCAAATACACGTTGAACATTTTTCAACACATGATGAAAAAATTATTGAAAAATATCGTTAGCAAAATTTATAAAACATGTCAACATCTTAAAATGCCCCGAACATATTTTTCTCACAATTGTTATTATGCAATTGACATTTCGTGCATATCACCTAGGCGGTCGAGCAATTGCGGGGACCCCTTGGATTCTATTGGGTCGGCCATGTAGTTGACTCTGGTATTGTGAAGGTTTCATTCAATTTTTTTTCTTTTCTTTTTTCTCTACATTTTCATGTACATTTTACTTTTATTTATTTTTCTTATTTCTAATTAGCGAATATTTTCAAAATGCCACTGTTCGCCCGTCCGCTTCGACCAAGCTGCACACAAATCACGATCCCAGGCGCTGTAGACGAATCACGATCCAAGGAGTTCACATCGTTCTAACAGAGGAGAGATGGTACTGATTCTGCTGGAGCGCTTCACTTGCTTCTCTCCCTTTTCTGCAGTCTTCCTTTTCGATCATTACAACATTGCCTTATTTTTTACGACAGACACTGGCTCCAGGTGAACACACTATGCTCTCAAAGCCTCCAACTGCGCGTGACTATGCTGATAAACTGTTAGGATTATTAACATTGCTTTCATTTTTTTCATCCTCATGAAGGAGCATGAAAAAAGCACCTTACCCTGAGCTCCCTTGCCAGTTCTGTTCAGCTTATCCACGATGCATGAACCTCCTCACCATTGGATCATTGCACAGCCCTGCACAAGTTCTTAATAGCCTACTTCTCAGGGACAACTGCAGCAACAAGGACTAAAAGAAACAATAAAACTGCCGTGAAATTATCTTCACTTATGGTATATCGTTCAGTGAGCTGAGAAATGGAAGGAAAAGCCTGCACCTCCACTAAACCATGTGGTGCTCTTCACTTGCCTAACGTACACGTCGGTGCTTGTGGACTGTCACAAGTAGACGAATTCAGGCCTTGGAGTTTCTGTGGAATTCTCCATTCCTGATGTGAACTTGCCCAAAATACCTGTGTACATTCTTGCTCACAGGGTTGCCCTCAGATTGCCGGTCTGCAAGGGGCATGGACTCAGTCAGAAACATGGACTAATATTGCTCACAATTGCCACAAAACTCCGTTCGTAGCGGCACACAGCTGAACCCATCGTATTGCCCACCATGCGTACCACCAGTGCCGAGCTCCTGCTCATATGCGTCCTAGCCGCCGCCGCCTTGCTGGCCCCCGATGCACTTCAGGTCGGGCCGGCCAGTGGTTCGGCCGGCACAAACTGCATACCGCGGGAGCGGGACGCCCTGCTATCCTTCAAGCACGGCATCACCAGCGACCCCTTGGGCGTCCTTGCCTCTTGGCACAAGGAAGAATGCTGTCAGTGGAGGGGCGTCAAGTGCAGCAACCGGACCGGCCATGTCCTTAGGCTTCATCTTCGTAATCTGCATGCAGACACGTACACTTCCGATGAGGAGATCATGGGTGTGTACACCAGAGACACAGCTTTGGTTGGCCAGATAAGTAGTTCTTTGCTCTCCATGGATCGTCTAGTGCACCTTGATCTTAGCATGAATTACCTCAACGGCTCAAGTGGCCGCATGCCGGAGTTCTTGGGCTCTTTGACGAGATTGAGATATCTCAACCTCTCTGGCATACCATTTTCTGGCAGAGTGCCCCCTCAACTCGGGAACCTCTCAAACCTCCAGCATCTTGACCTCTCATGCCAATTTTGCAATGAATATATGTACTCGAGAGACATTTCATGGGTAGCACGCATCCCTAAATTGCAGTATCTTGGAATGAATTCAGTAAACCTCAGCACGATAGTTGACTGGCCTTATGTTGTCAACATCATTCCTTCTTTGAAGGCCCTTGATCTTGGGTTTTGCTCTCTTCCAACCTCAAAACAATCACTCCCACATATTAACCTTACCAAACTCGAGAAGCTTGATCTCTCTAGCAACATTTTTGCCCACCCAATGGCACAGAGTTGGTTTTGGAATTTGACAGGCCTCCAGCATCTCTACCTTGCCAACACTCAACAGTACGGTCAAGCTCCTGATGCACTGGCACATGTGACGTCCCTCCAAGTCCTTGATTTGTCATATAATCGTAACATGGGGACGATGACTACAAGCTTCAAAAACCTATGCAATCTGAGAATCCTGGACCTTTCTTATTGTCAAATTGGCGGAAATATAAAGGATATTATAGGGAGGATGCCCCAGTGTCCCTTAAACAAGCTGCACGAGTTGCACTTGCGCTCCAACAATATTACCGGAATCATGCCATCTGAGATCGGCATGCTCGGTAATTTGACCATATTGGTTCTTCGAGACAACAATCTCAATGGACCTGTTCCATCTGAGATCGGTATGCTCTGCAATTTGACCACAATGGATCTCAGAGGCAACTTCTTGAATGGTGACTTCACTGAATAACATTTTAAAAGTCTAACAAGGTTAAAGAGGCTACTATTAAGTGGTAATTCCTTGAGGTTTAGAGTTGGTCCCGATTGGATACCACCCTTTACTTTAGAAACGATAGGTCTTTGGTCTTGCCAACTTGGCCCTTCGTTTCCTGCATGGCTTCGATCCCAAGTTGACATTCGCTCAATGGATATATCAATCACAGGTATAGTTGATAGGCTGCCTGACTGGTTCACCACTACATTTGCAAAGACCATGTATCTGTACATCTCTGACAATGAAATCAGCGGCAGATTGCCAAGAAACATGGAATTCATGTCACTGCAAAATCACCCCGTTAAACATTTTCAAAATGCTCAAAAACCAAACAGAAAAAAAAGATATGGGGCTTTTAAGATCTGGAGAGGCAAAAAAATTCAAACTCACTAATGGCGCACCTGCCCATGGTGCGCCATTAGTATCTTCCCGCCTTCAAAATTTAAAATAAGTCAAAAAAATAAAAATAAAAGTAACTAATGGCGCACCTGCCCATGGTGTGCCATTAGTATCTTCCCGCCTTCAAAATTTAAAATAAGTCAAAAAAATAAAAAAAAGTTACTAATGGCGCACCTGCCCATGGTGCGCCATTAGTATCTTCCCGCCTTCAAAATTCAAAATAAGTCAAAAAAATAAAATAAAAATACTAATGGCGCACCGGCCCATGGTGCGTCATTAGTATGTGGTATATATGGCTGGGCGCACCTCTTCCACTCCACCTCTCCTCCACTCCATCTCCTCCTCTCCTCTCCCCCACTCCATCTCCTCCTCTCCTCTCCTCCACTCCTTCTCCTCCTCTCCGGCGACCTCCTTCTCCTCTCCGGCGACCTCCTCCTCCTCTCCGGCGACCTCCTCCTCCTCTCCGGCGACCTCCTCCTCCTCTCCGGCGATGTAGGCGAGCGCCTCTCCGGTGACCACCTCCTCCTCCTCCTCTCCGGCGAACTCCTCTCCGGCAAAAGAACTCGGCAAAAGAACGTACAAGATCCAAAAACAGGAACAAAATTTGAAATAATATCGTGCCAAAAAACGAGCAAAAAAAACTAGCAAAAAATGGGCAAAAAATCACGACCCAGATCCAAATTCAAAATTCAAAAATAGCAATGGCGCACGGTGGGGGTCAGACGGTGCGCCACTACTATTTTCCCGCCTTCAAAATTCAAAAATACTAATGGCGCACCGTGGCCTATACTAATGGCGCATCAGTGGCCTATACTAATGGCGCACTGTGGCCTATACTAATGGCGCACCAGTGGTGCGCCATTAGTATACCAGATACTAATGGAGCATCAGTGGTGCGCCATTAGTAAAAATTACTAATGGCGTGCTAGTAATGGCGCACCAGTGATGCGCCATTAGTAGGCAAAACTGGTGCGCCATTAGTAGGCCTTTTCCTAGTAGTGGGGGGCAAACATGTGGCGCTAGAAATTTGGCGGGAAACACGCGACAGGAGAAATATGGTAGGAAAACCTCGGGCAGGAAACACAATGGCAGAAGAAATCGGGCGGGAAACACAGTGGCCAGAGAAATCGCGCAGGAATCGCATGGCATGAGAAATTATGTGGGAAATTTCCGAACATGAGAAACTGCACGGGAATCATGCAACATGAGAAATCTGGTGGGAAAATTCTAGTAGAAAACACATGGCTAGGAAAATTGGGCGGGAAATACACGGGTGGGAGAAATCTTGCGAGAAAGACATGATGCGAGAATTGGGCGGAAAACTTTTGAGGCAAAAACTTTTGAGGTACTAAAACATTTTGGCCAATTTTCATATCACAGACCAAAAACAACTTTAGGTGCTAACATGACAGGTTATTCAGTGTGTTCATATCTACCAATCTGCAACCAATCTGAATCTCCATTTTTTGCAGGTAGTTTAGAGACTCGAGTAAAACATAGATCGGATACCCATCCACTTTAGAGCAGACAATTGTGAGCTTCAAAACATCTGTTAGAAGGCACAACAATTGAGTAAGGTGGCAGGGTGGCATCAACCAGCAGGGCCACCAGTCCGACGACCAGTGGGGAAGATGAGAGCTTCCGGTTGATGGAGGAGGCGAGAGCTTCGCGTAAGTTGAGAAGGCGAGTATACATGGGTATAATGTACGCCGTGATATAAAAAATGTATGTCTAAAAATAATACAAATTTCCGAGGGGGCCATTGCCCCCTCCCTCCAAAAAAAACATCCTCATATTATTAACTTTGAATCCCTTACAAATTTTCAATTGCACGCCTTTGTAGTTTGCCAACACATTGCTATAGGATTTAAAGAAGAGAATGTGCTGACGGGTTGGTCATGGTGGCCGGTTGGTATTTTCAATTGTGCCCCTTCGTCCGTTTTACATTTTTTTCTCTTCTTATTTACGCTCTTTCTATTTGTTCTTTATTTGTATTTTCATTAAAAACATGTCGACTCTTTTAGTACATGTTGTGCATTTTTTGTATACACACAAAGCATTTTTTATATGCATTGAAATTTTGTCAAATGCATGATGAACACTTTCTAAGAACAGTTTTTAATACATGTTAAACTTTTTATAATGACACTTAAAACAGTTTTAATACACATTGTACTTTTTTAATGCATGTGAAACATTTTTCATATAAACATCGAACAGTTCAAAAAAATACATGAGCAACTTTTTTTAAAATAATACATGTTGAAGATTTCTTTCAAATACACGTTGAACATTTTTCAACACATAATGAAAATATTATTCAAAATATCGTTAACAAAATTTATAAAACATGTCAACATTTTAAAATGCCCCGAACATATTTTTCTCACAATTGTTATTATGCAATTGACATTTCGTGCATATCACCTAGGCGGTCGAGCAAATGCGGGGACCCCTTGGATTCTATTGGGTCGGCCATGTAGTTGAGTCTGGTATTGTGAAGGTTTCATTCAATTTTTTTTTCTTTTCTTTTTTCTCTACATTTTCATGTACATTTTACTTTTATTTATTTTTCTTATTTCTAGTTAGCGAATATTTTCAAAATGCCCATGTTCGCCCGTCCGCTTCGACCAAGCTGCACACAAATCACGATTACAGGCGCTGTAGACGAATCACGATCCCAGGAGTTCACATCGTTCTAACAGAGGAGAGATGGTACTGATTCTGCTGGAGCGCTTCACTTGCTTCTCTCCCTTTTCTGCAGTCTTCCTTTTCGATCATTACAACATTGCCTTATTTTTGACGACAGACACTGGCTCCAGGTGAACACACTATGCTCTCAAAGCCTCCAACTGCGCGTGACTATGCTGATAAACTGTTAGGATTATTAACATTGCTTTCATTTTTTTTCATCCTCATGAAGGAGCATGAAAAAAGCACCTTACCCTGAGCTCCCTTGCCAGTTCTGTTCAGCTTATCCAGGATGGATGAACCTCCTCACCATTGGATCATTGCACAGCCCTGCACAAGTTCTTAATAGCCTACTTCTCAGGGACAACTGCAACAACAAGGACTAAAAGAAACAATAAAACTGCCGTGAAATTATCTTCACTTATGGTATATCGTTCAGTGAGCTGAGAAATGGAAGGAAAAGCCTGCACCTCCACTAAACCATGTGGTGCTCTTCACTTGCCTAACGTGCACGTCGGTGCTTGTGGACTGTCACAAGTAGACGAATTCAGGCCTTGTAGTTTCTGTGGAATTCTCCATTCCTGATGTGAACTTGCCCAAAAAACCTGTGTACATTCTTGCTCACAGGGTTGCCCCCAGATTGCCGGTCTGCAAGGGGCATGGACTCAGTCAGAAACATGGACTAATATTGCTCACAATTGCCACAAAACTCCGTTCGTAGCGGCACACAGCTGAACCCATCGTATTGCCCACCATGCGTACCACCAGTGCCGAGCTCCTGCTCATATGCGTCCTAGCCGCCGCCGCCTTGCTGGCCCCCGATGCACTTCAGGTCGGGCCGGCCAACGGTTCGGCCGGCACAAACTGCATACCGCGGGAGCGGGACGCCCTGCTGTCCTTCAAGCACGGCATCACCAGCGACCCCTTGGGCGTCCTTGGCTCTTGGCACAAGGAAGACTATTGTCAGTGGAGGGGCGTCAAGTGCAGCAACCGGGCCGGCCATGTCCTTAGGCTTCATCTTCGTAATCTGCATGCAGACACGTACACTTCCGATGAGGAGATCATGGGTGTGTACACCAGAGACACAGCTTTGGTTGGCCAGATAAGTAGTTCTTTGCTCTCCATGGATCGTCTAGTGCACCTTGATCTTAGCATGAATTACCTCAACGGCTCAAGTGGCCGCATGCCGGAGTTCTTGGGCTCTTTGACAAGATTGAGATATCTCAACCTCTCTGGCATACCATTTTCTGGCAGAGTGCCCCCTCAGCTCGGGAACCTCTCAAACCTCCAGCATCTTGACCTCTCATGCCAATTTTGCAATGAATATATGTACTCGAGAGACATTTCATGGGTAGCACGCATCCCTAAATTGCAGTATCTTGGAATGAATTCAGTAATCCTCAGCACGATAGTTGATTGGCCTTATGTTGTCAACATGATTCCTTCTTTGAAGGCCCTTGATCTTGGGTTTTGCTCTCTTCCAACCTCAAACCAATCACTCCCACATATTAACCTTACCAAACTCGAGAAGCTTGATCTCTCTAGCAACATTTTTGCCCAACCAATGGCACAGAGTTGGTTTTGGAATTTGACAGGCCTCCAGCATCTCTACCTTGCCGACAATCAACAGTACGGTCAAGCTCCTGATGCACTGGCACATATGACATCCCTCCAAGTCCTTGATTTGTCATATAATCGTAACATGGGGACGATGACTACAAGCTTCGAAAACCTATGCAATCTGAGAATCCTGGACCTTTCTTATTGTCAAATTGGCGGAAATATAAAGGATATTATAGGGAGGATGCCCCAGTGTCCCTTAAACAAGCTGCACGAGTTGCACTTGCGCTCCAACAATATTACCGGAATCATGCCATCTGAGATCG